CTGTCTATCCACCATGATACGCCGCATTTACACCAGCAGGTGTTCCTTCCCCCAATGGCACGGACTCACCTTTCGAAGGCTTTAGTTGTTAGTCTAATGAAGAATCACTATCTTGATAAAGGAGGGGAAAAGGAAGACCCTTCGATCTGGAGTGTTTTTTTTCATTTTTTTGGCCGAGTTTAATAGAGGATTTATATTATATAATTCTCCTGGGTGACGGTGACTTTTTGGTAATCAATGATTCAAGGATCCTCCCACTGACCCTATTTTGGACAACCCCGATTTCAGGGACCCCCATTTAAAAAAAGCACCCGATTGTGTGTCAATAGGGGGGGCGTGTTTTTTAATAGGTGGAAGGGATTAAACCTTTCCCATTGTAAGTGGTCAGTAGCATCACATGGGACAACCAAAAGTTTGGTAGGACCATTGACAATTGAGGTTTTGTCAGCAAACTCCCATGTCCATCCCCCCCCAAAAAAAGACTCACTTGCTCAAAGCCATGAATAAAACAACCCACCGAAACCCACGCGAGCCACGTTGCCTGCATGGGGATCTTGGCATCTGGAGTTGAGATCGAGAGCCATCCGAAGAGCACGAACGTGGCCAGCGTGAGTGCGCACAGAGCCCAGCGGAGCGGAGCGGCGCGGGCCCGCGCGGCCTGCGGCGCGAGAAACGGACGAAACCTGGGAAGGTGTCACAAGGTGTCTGCTCCCTCACTGAGAAATGGATGTGTTCCGGGTCGAAAAGGGAGGCAAATCCGCACAGGATGTCTACAGGGGCTCGAGGATTACGCAGAATGTGGGCACCACGAGGGGTGGACGACATGTAGGGAAATGGTGAATGAATGGTGAATTGGGAAACCTTCCCTCCCTGTGCATACCACGTGCCAAAGTTGCTAAAGCAAGAAGAATTGAAGACCTCAGCCAGCTGACGCTACCTTGTGTGACTTGGCGGCGGCGTCAAAGAAGCAAAGAAGCAAAGCAGCAGGAGAGCAAAGCAGAAAAACATCGCTGCAAAGCGAAGCAGCGAAAGCAAATCTACAGAGAAAAGCAATGACTTGGGGTGGCCATTTCGGGGGAAGTCTAAAGCCCTTGAACTGTTGTGCAGCCAAATACTCGCCGCTTCAAAGCAAGAACCTCGCTGTTGGATCGAATCGTCGAATTCCCGCCGGACACCGGTCGAAGTGTCGCCACAGCGTCGCCACAAGTCCCACCGATTCTGGATGCCCTAGAAGTCCAGTTCGATTATATGTTGACCGACTGAAGTAAAGGAAGCTCCTTTTCCGGTCACCCAGGACCTAGTCAGACCATTCTTTCTATAGTCTTTGACTCCCAGCTGATGGTCAAGGCACAACCCCTCGGGTGGCACGACCAAAACCGCAAGCCCTCGTTTCGTACCAGAAGCTGTCGTTGCCTGTCGTTTCTGATAACATCATGTTGCCATAAAAGCAGTTCTATCTGCACAAGAAGTCCCAACGAAGAGGATGCTGAAATGAGGACCCAGCAGGTTTTACAAATTGCGCGGGCAAGGGTGGGTTGGGTCACCCTTCACAATCCTTACTTAAGTCTCGATCTTCTTCAGGGAATTGGGAATTCTTGCCCTGAAGATAATAATTGCAAAAGCAAGGAGAACTCAGGTCGCCACCTTTCGTGACCTTTCTTTCGAGCTCATGAGGGGGACCACAGTGTGATGGGAAGCGGATATCACTCACACGACTCGACTCTGCACTTTCTGTCTCAAAGAATGACACGTCAGCGGTCCTTGCTACACAACTCGGTCAAATGAAGAGATTCTTCGGGATGTCAACCAAACCCATGCTTTGTAGGGTCACTGCGCTTGTGCACCATGTTCGGTCATATGCACCTGCCTCCTCAGGGCCCATTGGTCTAGGACCAGGTACAGAAAGGGGTCCAGGGTTTGTAGGGTGAGGTGTTCACCCACGGTCATGAAACCAATCCAAGCTTGAATAATAATTCAGCCCTGCTCGGACGTGCCTCTGAATTCAAGTCACCACGAATCAAGTCGCGTCCTTCTTCATCGGAGGTCGACATCTTCTCATTGTCTGCACATTGAAGGATGCTGACTGTGTCTTTTGTCCATGAAAGTGGCTCAAGCACCACCCCTAATGGCTTGGATTTCTATGATTCTACCTGGCCTCTCGATCAAATTCCAAAACTTACACGCCTACAGCAACTGCTTACCTCTCGAATGTTGTGCACCTACTCCGTTGAAGTTGTCCCATCGGAGAGTGTTTTCCAACTGGGTGACATGCCGAGTCCATCCATTCCCAGATCTGGCTGACTCACATGTGGGAGATGACCTCTACCGAGATCTCCCACACCTCTTGAGCCATGCGCAGACATGGACCGTGAATGGACCATGAACATGGACCCCTGTTTTTGTCATAGTCTCATCTACCGCCCAGTGGTTCAGGGTCCATGGGAGGCTCTGTAGGAGGCTCTGTCCTTCTACGTGGCCCTGGGTCCAACTGCCCCAGCTCCGTGGGCTTCACCCAGCTCCGAAGGAAAAGAGTCCCATCCTCCCAGACGCGTCTGCGTCCAGCCATCCACGTGCCGCGTGACCCGCGCCGTCCGTTGGTGTCGGGTCGACATGAACCAGCAACCTACGAAGCCAGGGACCTGGATGGGATGGAGGATGGGATAGTTGCTGTCCAGGAACCAGGAAAAAGTATTTAAAAAATGAACAAGAAAACGAAAGAAGAAAAAGTTGATTTACCCATAGGCAGAATATAACTCTAAAACATAAACATAATACATCACCTTAAGCAAAACTAGGGATACGAAAAGACGATCCTCTTGACATGGCCCAAGCCTGGTCCAGTCCGAGCCCGGTCCAAAGCAGGATCCATCCGAAAGAATGTAATTGTTTTTCATGTTCCTGGGAAACCAAACAACCAGAAACAAAATGAAACAAATGGATGTTTCCCGAATCGCCATTTCCTATGTAAAGGATTTCAAGCAAGCCATATTGGAACAACCATTTGTTTCTGGTTGTTTGGGTTTCCAGGTTGATATGTTTGTAGTGATTTTGTAAGACCAACTCCAGTCAAATTGAGGGCCGTTCCTGACCTGTAGGCTGGTGAGTTGGGTCCAAAACTTGGCTCCCAAACACCTATGAGTTGGGTATATCCCATTCCCTGCAACAGTGGATGGTGATGATGATGATGATGATGATGATTATCGCTAGTAAAAGCCTTTCTCTAAAACAGTGATACCTGTTTACCAACTCTTTCAGGTCGTGGGACACGCCAAACACCTACGGGCTGACGAGGACAAGGGGCGCCAACACCTAGGGTGCCATGAGGATCACATGGAGAGGCGAGTTCAATGCGTTCGTGCGGGGAGACAACACAGAAATGCAGGGGTGGCCGGGATCGTCCAACGTTCGTCCATGGGCCGAGCATGGGAGTCCATGGGAGCTCTTTCAGGTTCACCAAGAACCGAAGGAGTTGAGCCCAAACGCGAAAGCAAAACCAAGAATCGCCCCACAAGGACCTGGACCCTTACTATGAACGTTACGGCCCATTTTCCGGTTGACTCGACTCTGAAGATTGGTCTAGTCTAGCAGATGTAGACTCTTGATCAAACCCCGCATGTGAAGAGGAGGGTCTTCATCAAGAGTCTACATGACCTGACCGTCACCCAAACTTGACCTTCTGGAGATACACTACTCGTAGAAGTGTCCCCTTTCAACTCCCGCCACTTCACTCCCCTCTCCTTTTTTCACACCGCCGAGACCGCCTGCCGAGGACCTGTCCTCGATCGAGAGCTGTGTCTTCTCGCTTCGTTGGTCGCTGGTCCGTCGCTGGTCCGTCGCTGGACGTGGAGGTTCAAGCGCTTTGGTCAAGACGATGGATTTTTGATGTTGGGTATATCCCATTCCCAGGGCCCAATGGATGAGGATGAGGATGAGGATGAGGATGAGGATGAGGATGAGGATGAGGATGATGATGATGATGATGATGATGATGATGAGGAGGAGGAGGAGGAGGATGAGGATGAGGATGAGGGTGATGAGGATGAGGATGGTGAGGATGATGAGGATGATGATGACGAGGAGGAGGATTAGTCAAGACCCTTCCCAAACATAGTGATAATCTTTTACCAACTGTTACTGGTCACGGGACATACCCTAGGATGTGTGTTCAGCTGGATGAGGAGATAGAGCCAAGCAACAAGATCCAACGCCACTGGCGCCCACAATGGACCGAAATGCGACCACCGCACCAACCGTCCGGTTCGTGAAACATGGGACATGATGCGTCCCAGTGAGACTCTGAGTGTGCAAAAAAAAAAAGGGACCGTGCAAGGCATTGTTGCACGCACACCTAGTAAGGCATCGCTAGTGATGTAGACTGTCGATGAAAACACCCCCCCAAGATTCGTCAATGGCTTGAAAGCTCTCCACAGCTTGGGGGGGTGATTCATCAAGAGTCTACATGACTGCCCTTGTTCGGCAGAGTTTCTGCCCTCAAAAAAGCGGTCTTCATGCGGTCTTCAAGACCCGGCGCGTTCCACCAGAATGGAGAAAGTGAACGCCACCATGCCTCGCCGACTTCGGTTGAAGATTCATTGGAGAATAAGCCACCATAAGGAGAGAATAGTCCCTAAAAGCTATTATTTAATTTAACTCTATTTTTATTTCTAATAGCTTCTTGTTACTACTAGTAAGGCACCTGTTACTACTAGCGATGCACTTGTTACTACTAGTCCAAAGAAGTGAAGTGCACCACAATGTCAGCGCATCGTCTCCTATTTCAAGATAGAGAGACCTCTCATTTGGAAGGGAGGTCTAACCCCAACCCAATGGGCCATGGGCGGCCCAACCCGGGGTCTCCCTATTTTTCAATACACACGTTGACCACTCCCAAGTCTCCAAGGCGATTCCCGTTTCTTCAGGGTTCGTCAGTTCGAAGTCCATAGCGCCCGCCATTGGTCAACCGAAACGGCCGCGAGACCGGGCCTCAAAGTCTACCAAGATCAATGCCAGGTGCTGGAGCAAAAAAAGTTCGTGTCAGCACCTTCTAAAGGATTGTAAGAGCGAGGATTGGGTGTTGCATCATAGCCTCAGACCGCAGACCGGGTAGTTCAGGACGCTCCGTACCCAGACGCAACCATGGATGGCAATGGCAAAAACCCTCTTCCAAGCCATATCTTGAAATCGTTTTGTGCCCGCTTTCGCCCGCTTTCGCCTCAAATGGAAAACCTCCAGGTGAAGGGTGTTAAAATTGAAATCGCATTCCATCTTCACTCAATCATTTTCAGAATGTGACATTCAACCTCCGTCAACGTGGCTCGTCTGTTGTTCATTCCCCGCACACTTGAGTGGTGCACACACTTGATTCCAAGGTCAAAAGGTCAGATCATCACCCGGTCTCACCCGGTCTGACCGGCCAATAGGCAGAAGACCAAGGGAGGTGTCCGAAGAACACTTAGAAGGTCTTCTCACCTGCTTAAGAACGTCTTTGGACCAGGCCTTTGGGTTTTTGCAGTTGTTTGGATGTTCTTTGATGTCCCCTATCCGAAACCACGGTGGTGTTGACTGAAATTCAGTTGCAGTCTTTTCTTCTGATCCCGAAAAGTAGCTCCTGGAGAGTGGTGTTGCATCAAAACCCTAGTAAAAACCCGGCGTTTCAACATCAGCTGAAAAGGGGCAGGGCATCCCTTTGAAGAAGGAGCAAAAGGACCGGGTGCCAATCAACAACCAGAAACGCAAACGTGACCGGGAGTTCGTGATTTGATATTCAGGAAATCAGGCAAATCCTGCGCTGAACAGACTTGTCCTAACCTTATTGCTTATATATATATATATATATACACTACATATCTAAATTTAGTAGCGATGCCCTTTGTTCCTAGTAGCTTCTTGCTCCTAGTAGCGCTGCCAGGAGCCCCTAGTAGCTTCTTGTTCCTTTATATGGAACGTTTTCCCACGCGACTTGAGCTCCAAAAGACCTACCACTGACACCTCCTCCGGATTGACGCCAGCTTCCAGCAGTTCGGAGGAGAGCACGGTCTGCACGGTGTTCGTGTCATAGCTGCTCAGGGTTTGGCACACCTCCTAGCGGAAAGACAGACGTCGACTCCCAGCGGAAAACTCCAACGTTTGTCCGGCTGGCTATCCACGGTGAAAACGCGGTAGGAATAGAGACGAAGGCGATCAGACGAAGGCCAGGAGCCCCTAGTGACTCAGCTCCAGTTCGCCAAGGGTCCCGTTGCCCCACGGGTGTGTTAAAGGACGTTCCGAAAAAATGTCCAATCGCCGAACTCGTCAGGCAATCGTCAGTCGACTGGACGTCCCACGTTGCAACATCAACACCCCAGGCTTCCTGGCCCATCGAACCATTTAATAGACCTTACGGAAGCAACTGAGGATTCTACACTACAAAACCAGGGCAACCATTCTTTTATATTCATTTCATGTGTAGGGCCTGGTAACACCACGCAACCATGAAAAGGTTACAATTACCCTTTACATCTTGGATGTCTAGGGTAACACATCTTTCATGACCAACCACGGGCGACGGACTCGAGAACGCACGCCCGGCACGTCGCCCACGCGCCAAGGATGTGACAAGTGCTGACCGCCTGACCGCCTGAAGCAGTCGCAAGGAACTGCCTCCACCCATCAAGTCTGAACAATTGAATATCAACACCTCTAGCTCAGGAAAACAAGTAGGGGCAGGTGTTTTTTCTCCATGTCTTTCCACTCCTCTGCTGAGCTGTCTTCCACTTGCACCTGAAAGCACACCCCCACCATCGCTTGCAGTCTCCGTGCCACCCGCAGCATCGGTGTGGCCGATGGTCCGGGCCTCTCCATCGCCTGCGGTGTCCGATGCCGGGTCTGTTCGGTCGCCTCGCGCAGTTCACCTGGAAGACCTGAAAAATCTTGGCCCAGAAGGTCACCTCTTTGCGGAGTTGGGGGTGGGATAGCTCGCCCCGCTACGCAGCTACACCGTTCCGGTCTCAAACTTGGAGACCCCAGGGAGGCTACGCCGCTGGCTACGCCCTGCTTACGATGTGCTGCTTTCGAAGGATCCGAAGACTTGTGAGGTCGCGCGACCCGAAACTTGCAGTCCAGAGTTGCCAGGAAACACAGTTCAAGCCCATAAACCCCAGAAATCCAAAGACTATACTCTTCCTTAGTGAAGTAAAGGAAATTCCCTTTCGGATCCCCAAGCTTTATGGTCTTTGACTTCCAGGGTATACTTTCAGCATCATCAATGATCTTTCAGCTGTCTTTCAGCATCCCCCCAGGCTTCTAACCTTCGGCCCCTAAACATCTCGAAACATCTCGAAACCCTCTTCACCATCGGCTCGACGGCTCCTGCCGAAGCGATGGCTGCCCCGTCCCACTAGGCAGAGTCCTCAGAGGGTGCACTGTTCGACATCACCGATGCCGCCGAGGCCCGCGTGACGGAACCGAACTTGAAGCGAACGAAAGGTTCCTTCGAGGAACGGATGTGAGGAGTACGGGTGACCTCTCGGTGTTCCCAATGATAGCCAATGACATCCGAAAATATGAAAGGTGACACATCATCAAGGAATCATCATTGTTCAGTGGAACAATGGTCATCCCTCTGCTGTCACAGGAGGTGAAATCCACTCCATGATGATGGAATCAGGAGTGTATCCACTTTTCCAGGGTAAGGTTAGGATAGCATGACCTGTTGCCGGAATGTCGATCTGGGGACACGAACCGACGTCATAATGGACTCATCAAAGTATTGATTTTGCCATGGGATGAGGGTGGGTGTTCGTCATACCCAAATTGGCCAACTGCACCTGGAGGATTGACATCTTGCACAATTCCATGACCCAAACGACCCATGTATGGAAGATATGCCTACATTCGACCCGGGGTTGGTGTATGTACAAGTCCCGCATATCCGGTCTGAGTGTCGGTCTGGGTGTTGGTCCCTCTCTCTCTCTCTCTCTGAGTTGGCAGTGGATGAGCATGCATCGCTTCCACCAAACCCAGGAGTGACTGCATGTGTGGCTTAGCCTGTTGTATATACCCCATATATATACTATATGATATATATATATATACATACATATGCTACGCCCCTCTCCAAAACCGACATGTTCATGCGCGTTGCACAAGCATTGTACATAGTCAAATGGCCATGGTGCGTGGTGGATGGTCTGTTGTCTGCAGCAGTCTAGCAGAAGTGCAAGGATGTGTAAGAAACCAAAGCAGCAGATGGAGCACAAAGAGATGTTTGTGCAGTAGATAGACATGGCTCTGAAGTGATCTTTTTTGCAGAAGGCGCGCTGCATTACTGCAAGAGCCTAGCGGAAGTTCCTCATGACCCAATCGCACAATTCCCCAGACTTTTGCCACAGGTCTTCATCTTCAACCCGCAACTTGGCCCCTTCAAGAGTGTGGATCCCCACTCTTGGCCATGGTGTGAGCAAGTGACAAGCAAAGGAACTTGAAAAGTGGCAGCAACATAGAGTCGTAGAGTCAATGACTCAGAAGACATCAACAAGAGGGCGCCTCACTTGTCCATGTTCTGAAGTCACTTGCCAATTGAATGTATTGTACTTCAAAGGTCCTCAAAAGGCAAAAGCAAGAAGCAAGATGGCAAAGCATTCAGGGCCATCACAGTTTCTTACGCTATGCCTTGTGCTCAGAGCATGTGCACGCTGAGGGTGCTTTAAACAATCACAAAGCACACCACAAAGTTAGAAAGTAGAAACAAGCTTGCACAGCATTAAGGGACATCAACTGTGCTTTTGGTATTCCGTGGGTTTGCTGTGCAAAGTAAGGTTGCTTTGCAGCGTTTTGAAGTACATTAAAAGCAAGAAGCAAAAGCAAGATTGCAGAACATTAAAGGACATCAATCTTGCTTTTGATACTTTGTCTTAGGACTATGTGTCTTTTGGGGTGCTTTAAAGCGCTTTAAGGCACATCAAAACCAAAAAGCAAGAAGCAAGATGGCACAGCACTAAGGGGCATAAACCTTGCTTTATCATATGCTGCTTGCACCCCAAAGAATACCAAAAGCAAGATTGATGTCCCTTAATGGTGTGCAATGTTGCTTCTGGCTTTTGATGTGCTTTAAAGTGCCTTAAAGCACCCTCAAACTGCAAATAATCTTAAGACAGGGTATGGCAAAAAGAATTGATGTCCCTTAATGCTCTGCAATCTTGCTTCGTACTTCTTGCTTTTGGTGTGTGCTTAAGCGCTTTAACGCATTGATTGAGCAGATGTATGTATATAAATAATATATGTATATATATATATATTCATGCAAATGCAAATGTATGTTCCCCCTCCACATCCCCAGGCGACAAAATTGTTGGTCCTGCGGGGGTGCCATATATATATATATATCATATATATATATATACCCATCTATAAGCATATCATCCAAAATAGCGCAACGCGGTCAAGCTGTTCAGTCACAAAAAACTCCCTGAAACAAGCATGGAAGTCCTGGTCCCGGGAAAGACCCGGAAATCCGAATACAAAATAGGGAATTGTTCACTAGGCAGTTGGAGGAAGGGTATCATCCAATGACTGAGAACTTTCTGATGGCTGTTCAGCTTCACAGCCGGCACCGCAGACATGTCCGAAGTAGCCCCTGCCTGAGTGGGGCACGTATGCTGGGGCACGTACAGCTGGGGACATACACCCAGCGCAGGGCCCGTACACTGGCGCCTGGTTGAACCAGTTTGGGAACAACGAGACGTTGCAACCAGCACCATTTGGGGTCCGATATTCACTTGCTCCACCGCCCTTCCTGAGATAGATTGGTATCTTGTAAGTCCATTCATCCCAAACATGCACACAGGCTCGGACCCGCTGAGTGCTTTTGAGGCTTGATTGGCCAAGGGGTGTGCTTGGAAGCCAAGCTACACAGCTCTGCATGGAAAATGGAAGCTGTGAAAAAGTGGGTCAAAGTTGGAAGTGCCCATTCCCGTTCGACTTCCAGGAAATTCGACCTCCAGTTCAAAGTCCTTCGAAGTCCACCACCCCAGGTTCCAGGTTTCATGGCCTGTAACTGCGATCACCGAGAAGGCAGACCATGTTTCAAATGGTTTTCACTGGACTCCCAGGGGTATGGTTTTGTCCATATCTTTCCATTGGGCATCGCCCAAGTTGGGGGCACCACGGGACTATCACCGAGCGAAAGCGATAAGAAAGGATAAGAAAGGACTGCGATAGCTCACACTACTCTGCAGTCAGAGCAGATGCTTTGATCAAGCCTTTTTGTAGATCATCTCTCTCTGACAACACATCGAACCGCCTCAAAGCGAACTTTGATTTGCAAAGGTGTGGGACACGATCTGCTTTCAGTCTTTGACACACCCAGTGGCATTGGCACAGTTGATGATGAGCTCCACCATCGCTGCAGCAATTCCACTCCCAGACAGTCGCGCGATGGTGTCCTGCGACAGCAGCGCGTCACTCGCGCGATGACACTCGTGCGAAGGCAGTCCGCGATGGCAGGGACCTTAAGGTTCGTGCCCGAGAAGACATGAAACCTTATGAGGGTGCATCGAGCGGGTTCTTCATATATTTCCACTGTTTCAAGTGAATCCGCCCTGCCACCAATGACCCGGTTCGCCTTTCGGTTCGGTCCTTGAGCGCATTCACGACGTTGGGGTCTTGCAATGTGGCGGTATTTTGCGTTTGAAGCCTCAAAACAGAAGAGCTGTGCTTGGAGTCGACACCAAGCTTGCTTCCTTCAACCATTTGCTTCATTTGCCACAAAGATTTTGCGAAACCAAACCTCAACTGGCATCAAATTGCCACATGTATCAACGACTTCATGCCTTTCCTTGGCTAGTTTTGCTGGTCTGGGCCTCAAAAGCCCTTGCGCTGCCAAAGCCGCCACACCCGCCACTCCAGCCGCTCCAGCCGCGCCCGTGCCAGCAGTGCCCGTGCCGGCGCCGATGCCGGTGCCCAGGCCAACGCCCAAGCCAATGCCCAGGGCTAAGCCAGTGCTGACGCCCACACCCACGCCGACGCCTGGCCGCAGCCAACGTGCTGAGGCATTCCGAGCCGGACAAAGGAGGTCACGGGTGGATGAGCGAAGCGACGAAAATCAGAGACCTTCCAGAACATGGTCCAACAATTCCCTCAACCATGAACACTTATATAATCCTGTATACAAGTTTGTATAAACAAATCAATAAATACATAAATAAATAATCATTCCCAGACAGGTTCCAATCCTCTAAAGCGCGGCCTGGTCGGGTCCGAAGCTTGTATAGCGTACAAGCTATTTGCGTTGGGTAGGCAGG